TCCGCCTAAAAAAGACTTACCATAAGGCCTTCTGCATTGTTAATACTTAGGTTATTTTTACACCTCAGTGGAGATATCCGTTTTTCCAATATTGATAATTATAGATACAGAAAGAAGCGTATTATATTGATTTATTAATATCAACAAGAAAAGGGAAAGTTTTTAAACTTATAATGATCAAACAAACAGTTGTCAAATTCTGTAGATAATGAAGAGCACAGTAAATAATCAATCAATAAACAAAAAAGATTAAGAAATAATATCATTTTTAACTTGAATTTTGAGTAAAAAAATATTGATAAAACAAAACATGTAAAAAAACGTAATTAAGCATTTAGAATTTACCCAATATTAATTATCCCAATGTAAACGTAATTAAATTCATGTAAATGTTAAGAACAAAGGTAAAAATTAATTCAATAAGTAAGCAAGACCCAAAATAAATATCTCAAATCAATAGCAAGATGAAAATATAATTCTTAGGTTTAGCTCAAAAATATTCAGTTATAGAGAAAGCTGTTATATAGTAGACATGTTGTTTATAACCTCCAGTTCTAACGTGATGTTTCTACTAGTTATAGGTAAGTTCTAACATGATATTTTTACTAGTTATAGGTAAGTTCTAACATGATATTTTTTCTAGTTATAGGTAAGTTCTAACATGATGTTTTTACTAGTTATAGGTAAGTTCTAACATGATATTTTTACTAGTTATAGGTAAGTTCTAACATGATATTTTTTCTAGTTATAGGTAAGTTCTAACATGATGTTTTTACTAGTTATAGGTAAGTTCTAACATGATATTTTTACTAGTTATAGGTAAGATCTAACATGATGTTTTTACTAATTATAGGTAAGTTTTAACATGATGTTTTTACTAGTTATAGGTAAGTTCTAACATGATGTTTTTACTAGTTATAGGTAAGTTCTAACATGATGTTTTTACTAATTATAGGTAAGTTCTAACATGATGTTTTTACTAATTATAGGTAAGTTCTAACATGATGTTTTTACTAATTATAGGTAAGTTCTAACATGATGTTTTTACTAGTTATAGGTAAGTTCTAACATGATGTTTTTACTAGTTATAGGTAAGTTCTAACATGATGTTTTTACTAGTTATAGGTAAGTTCTAACATGATGTTTTTACTAGTTATAGGTAAGTTCTAACATGATGTTTTTACTAATTATAGGTAAGTTCTAACATGATGTTTTTACTAATTATAGGTAAGTTCTAACATGATGTTTTTACTAGTTATAGGTAAGTTCTAACATGATGTTTTTACTAGTTATAGGTAAGTTATAACATGATGTTTTTACTAGTTATAGGTAAGTTATAACATGATGTTTTTATTAGTTATAGGTAAGTTCTAATATGATGTTTTTAATAGTTATAGGTAAGTTCGAACATGATGTTTTTAATAGTTATAGTTAAGTTCTAACATGATGTTTTACTAGTCATAGATAAGTTCTAACATGATGTTTTACTAGTCATAGATAAGTTCTAACATGATGTTTTTAGTAGTTATAGGTAAGTTCTAACATGATGTTTTTATTAGTTATAGGTAAATTCTAGCATGATGTTTTTACTGGTTATAGGTAAGTTGTAACACAATGTGTTTACTACTTTTAGGTAAGTTCTAACATGATATTTTTACTAGTTATAGGTAAGTTCTAACATGATGTTTATACTAGTTATAGGTAAGTTCTAACATGATGTTTTACTAGTCATAGTAAGTTCTAACATGATGTTTTTACTAGTTATAGGTAAGTTCTAATATGATGTTTTTACCAGTTATAGGAAAGTTCTAATATGATGTTTTTACAAGTTATAGGTAAGTTCTACCATGATGTTTTTACTAGTTATAGGTAAGTTCTAACATGATATTTTTACTAGTTCTAGATTCTAGGTAACATGAAGTTCTAACATGATATTTTTCTTAGTTCTAGGTTCTAGGTAACATGATGTTTTTACTAGTTATAGGTAAGTTCTAATATTATGTTTTTAATAGTTATAGGTAAGTTATAACATGATATTTTTACTAGTTATAGGTAAGTTCTAACATGATATCTTTTCTAGTTCTAGGTTCTAGAAAACATGAAGTTCTAACATGATATTTTTCTTAGTTCTAGGTTCTAGGTAACATGATGTTTTTACTAGTTATAGGTAAGTTCTACCATGATGTTTTTACTAGTTACTTTAGTTTTACTTGTTTTATATCAAAGTGGTAAAATCGTTGCTTGTTTTATATCAAAGTGGTAAAATCTTTTCTTGTTTTATATCAAAGTGGTAAAATCGTTGCTTGTTTTATATCAAAGTGGTAAAATCTTT